TCTGGTGAAGTTTGCCAAGGAAGCATTGCCATATGTGCTGATGGAGCTGAACTAAAATGAGAAGATTAGAAAACTAACCACAGTAATAAATTTCATTTGAGGCAGTTGGAAAACAGACTGCTGTTTTGACAAGTTAGAAACAACACACACATCCATTCTCTGTTTCTAATGGTTAAAATGAATTTCCAGAATCCAACAGAAACATCTTGTATTAGAAGCCTAATTTTTCTGCTGAGTTACCCAGACGTCAAACATACATGTGCTTTAAACTCCAGTGTGATGGCGTTGAAGTGCCTTCACCAGACTGGCTGTTTTAAGGCATTACCGAGCCACACTACCCTTCCTCCCTCTGAGGTCAAGGAACCGGGAGGTTTATTGAAATTCCCACCTCTCTGACTTTCCTTGTCCTGCAGGTCAGGGCCCCTCCCCTCCCAACGGGCATTTGCCCACAGCTAATGGTGTCAAGGCCCACATCTCTCCTGGCTCTCAGATTGTCATCCACAGCTACCCTTTGTTCCCTAGTTTGCCAGGGTTGTCACCACAAGAATGGTACTTAGCCAGTACCTCACTGAGTGCCAGCATCTGGCCCAGGTCTTAGGAATGGATTTGTACTTTGGTTTTGTTCTTACTGGGTTGAAGTTACTCATTTAATACAGTGGAACTCAGGGCCTTAGATTAAATAACTTTAACCTCCTAATTACTCTTCGTGCCTTGGGTCTCTGCCCTTACTATCTGTCCTCCACCTGCCTCCAGAACTTTTTACTTTTTGAACTTGACTCTTTAAAAGCCACCCCATGTGTGTACAGAATTTTTTCCAACCCCCTTAGTGTGGCCTGGGGAGAAGCAGTGCAGTATGCTGGCCAGGAGCACCCCCTTAGAGCCAGACCACCTAGGTTTGAACCCCACTGCCCCACCTAACAGCTGAGCAACCTTGGGCGGGCTCTGAGAAGTCTGCCTCAGTTCCTCATCTGTTGATGGGATAAAAATAACATGTGCTGAGTTATCGTTATTGACTGCTTGTGGTGTAGATTAAATGTGTTGATTCACATAAAGCGCATAGAGAAGTGCCTGGTATGTACTGGCTGTTGTCCTTATCGCTGCTACCATTGTTTATGACAATGTCAGTGATCTCACCACAGCCTCCAGTGACCTCGCCCTCACCCTGACTGTGCCACGGTCTTGAGAAATTTTGGTGCCTTTTCACGCTCTGTCCCCTCTGCCTGGATCACCTTGCCCTCTGTTCTACTCATGTCTCTCTTCTCCAGTGAACCTCTGCTTATCCTTAAAGAATCAAGTTAAGTATCTCCTCTTCTTTGATGCTTTTCTCCCTCCTGCAGGCAGAATAACTGGTTCTCTCCGCTGTGTTCCCATAGTACTTTGGTGCCCCAGGGCTGTGATACTCAGCACTCTGTTTTTAGGTGGTGTGTCTCCTTTCTGGCACACAGAGACACCTAGGGCTCCCTTTTCTTCTAAACTGACACTGGCTCCAGGGGATGCCACAGATCTTACTATGTTCATACCAGTTTCTTCCAGTACCAGGCACAGAAAGCATTTGGTAAATGTTTGCTGAACAAATAAATATTTGCTGCCCTATATATAGTCTTAAAAGCAGGGTTTTCTCTATTGTTTTGTTTTGCTCTCTGCTGTTCACAGTGCATTACTAAATTTATAGTGAGAAATACAAAACTCGATAGCTTAAAAGGCTGGCTGAAGTGATTGTATCTAACGCTATAGTCATTTGGCTCTGTGGGCTGTTTTTTGTTAGTCATTTAAAAAGACCATCACAGGATAGTTAAAGAGACAAGAGATCATCATTTAAATCACAGTGCTATCAACCCATCCATGGCTTGGTCTGCAATTTAATGATGAGAGTAATACATCTAGCAAGTAAATATTTAACTAAACATTTTGGTACTTGACCTGAATGCAGAGAGTAGAATGGAAATTGTAAATGTTAAGATGTAGTTTAACCAGCTTATCCCTGAATTTTACTGGTAGAAATTAATGTTGTACTTTCATAAAGTAATAATAAAGCCTTTCTCCTCATAGATGTTATCTCATGGTATAAGTAAAGGATTAATACGTGAGCACAGTTTAGGAGGAGAGAATTCTTACTCTGAGTAAGAGCATTTGCTTTGCCCAGATGGTTCCATATTCACATTTTCTGTGCTGTTTCGGTTCATTTAGATTAAAAAGAGTACAGCCCCCAGGCTTCCCTGGTGGCGCAGTGGTTGAGAGTCCGCTTGTCGATGCAGGGTACACGAGTTCGTGCCCCGGTCCGGGAAGATCCCACATGCCGCGGAGCGGCTAGGCCCATGAGCCATGGCCACTGAGCCTGCGTGTCCGGAGCCTGTGCTCCGCAACGGGAGAGGCCACAGCAGGGAGAGGCCCGTGTACCGCAATTAAAAAAAAAAAAAAAAAAAGAGTATAGCCCGTACTCAAGGTAGCAGAAGCATAGGGGAACTTTTGGTAAGAGTTCACATGAGAGAGAAGGAAATCCGAGATCTCATAGGGATCCCAGGGCAGGAGTTTCACTGGAATCTGGCCTCAGTGGGACTGGAAGATGGTCAAGGCCGTCGCTCCCACCTGGGCACCTTTCATGGGCTGTGTGTTTTCTCTCTCTCTGGTGTCTCCATTCTATTTGCTACACATTTTCCCCTGCCAGTCTTCTTCCTTTTCGTATCATAGTTGCTACTTCCTTGTGGCATTAGCACACACATGTCTTCAACTGGCCACTTTCCCCACTCCATCTGGCACCTTTGCAGTTTGTGCCTTTGTGCTGACTGGCTCATCACCTTTGAGAACTCTGTCACGCTCCTGGGAGAAGGGTCCTGACTGGGTAGCTCTACTCTTGGTGTCAGGTCACAGGGCCCAGGTTGCTGAACTCATTGGCTGTACATCTTTTAGGTGTCTTGCCCTTGGGGATGAAATAGGCTCAAAATATGGCTGCCTAGAGAAGACGTTGCAAACCCAACTGTTTACAGGATCCAGGCAGCTTAGTTATATCAGTGAACAAATGAGGCTGGTTGTGAAAGGCAAATACACATTTGCCTGTGAGGCAGAGGACAGAGTTGGGTGTTGTCTAAAGGCATAGACTCTTGAGGAAGATGGCTTAAATTTGAATCCCAGTCTCACTATTTATCATCTGGGTAACTGAGAACAAATTACTTAATCTCTGTATGCCTCAGTTTCCACTCTACAGGGTGGTTTTAAGGATTAAATGAGTTAGAAAAGTGCTTAAAATGGTGCCTGACACATAATAAACAATATGTTGGCTGTTTTTCGAGGAAATTTTGATTAGCATCAGCATCCTTATCATTTAGTTTTACAATGAAATGAGCTTTCTCCAATTCTGCCTAAAACATGAAGCTGTCTTGGTCTATTTAGTTTCTCCCTTTTTGTAAAGCCATAAGCCCAGAGAGATATTTCTCTATTGTACGGATATCAACAGAGCAAGAAATGATGAACGATAATTGGCACTTGTCCTTATTGCTGGCATTAGGGCGTGGCGGGGACCTTGCTGAATTGATGCTTGGGTCCTGTCTAAAGGGCAGAGCCTCGCCCAACTGGAGATAGATTGCTGTGATGTCAGAAGGAGGCCCAGAGCTGTCAGATCCATTAATCAATCAGTTGATCAATCTAGTCATCCATTCAGCCATCTATCTATCTATCTATCTATATAATCTCAAATTATGTTTAAAACCTGTGCTACTCAGCAAAACACATCTGCAAGCTGGATGCACACATCCCTCGAGCTAGTGACTTTTGGCTGTAGGCTGTTTCTTTAAGAAGATGATGTGGGCAGGGCTGGTCTCTCCGAAGGGGCTGAGGGTGGACCTTTTAACATAGCGAATTAGGAAAGTGTACTTACTGGTGACAGATAACACCATGAAGACCCTCCCAAGGACAGCAGCATGACACAACAACAGTATATTCTGATCCTTGGGGTTAGCTTACTGAGTGTTGTCAAGGAAAGGCATCTGTCTTTGATTTGATTTTCTTAGAAAGAACAGATGAAAAAGGTAACTTTTTTTTTTTTTTAGTTCAAATATGTAGGTCCACTACTGTCATAACTGCCTTTCCTAGAAGTGGCCCTTTCCTGTCAAAGACCACACACACACACACACACCCCACACACGCACACACGCACACACACACCCCACACACGCACACACGCACACACGCACACACGCACACACGCACACCCCACCACTATACCGTTTTCTGCGCCACATCCAGAGTGGTCTTTTGAAAATATGAAGTAACACATCACTCTCCTCCTAATGGAAGCCCTTCTTACCTAACCTGGAGTGTATCGGGCTTCGGGGTCCTGGTCTGCAGCGTGGCATCGGGCCCAGCCTGTGCCTCTCCCTGTGCCTGCCTCCTGCGAGGTGCTGTACTGACACTCTCCCTCATGTTTGAGCACACCAGGCTTGTTCCCACTCTGCTGTCTTCGCCCCGTCTGTTCCCCTTCCGGAAGTGCAATGCATGTTTCCCCAACACTTTCAGCAAGGCCTCTCCCTTCCTTCCATCTGGGACCAGTCAGAGGGAGCCTCGTTTGTCTTGAGCTTGTCACAGAGTCATAGTTGCTAAATGTATGAATGGCTGAACCATGGGCAGTGGGGGGGGGGGGGGGGTGAGGAGCTGAGAAAGGTGTTAGAGAAAAAGAGTATTTTCACTAAAGTCCCGCTGATTTAAGAGGCGGGAGGGGATAAAAGCAAATCTTTGGAATAATGAGATTTCCTGTATCACTAATACTGTTGATTTACCCTATGTGCAAACGATTCAGAACGTGAGGGGGAATTTACTCAGGCCTGATGTAGCTCTTAGACATTAGTACCTAAACATTCCATTTCAAGTATTCTCGTTCAAGGTAAGAGCAGAAATTGGCAGCAAAGATTGCCCCAGTTTTTACATTGTGATCCCCCTCTTTAGAGCTGTTGATGTGTTTAGTTAATGTTAATTTATTTAATATGCTCCTACTTTCTGTTGTTTTTCAGGTCTGTTGCCACAGTTATTGGGAGTCGCCCCAGAGAAGGCCATAAAACTTACAGTAAGTCTTTTGATTTGATGCTTCAGATGAAGGGAGTTTGCACACACTCAGGAATCTAGCAGAGATTCTTATGTGAAACAGCAGGTCTGTGTTTCCTCAGAGGCGCTAACTGATTTGAACATAGAGGTGCTCACCACACGTAGCTTTTTATTACTCCCCATTTAACAGTGAACATCTGAAAATGTGATAATATACTTGAACAAGATTTTGGGTGGTTGCCGCCACCATCATCATTGTCATCATCACTATAGTAGTGGCAGCAACAGGAGCTAAATTTCTTTCAGTACCTACCATATTAGGTGCTTTCCATGTATTATCTGTTACTGTTTTAATCTCAAGCAAGGTGTGACCCACAGTTTACAAGTCAGGAAAGTGAGGCCCACAGGGATTAAGTATTTACCTGTGTTTGCACAGGTCATTAGTAGGAAGACTAGAATTCAAAACCAGATTTTTCTGACTCCAAAGCATATTGTTCAAGTGCACATGCTATTTACAGAATTCATGTTCGGGGTGTATTCTGTACACATTTGCTGAAGTGACATGTTTAGGGGTCTGAGTTCTAGTTTAAGTCGATCCTCCATCATATTGGTTCTCCAGTGCCTGACTCCTGTCTGACAGGTGGTAAGTATTCAGTATGTATTTGTGCAATGGATAAATAATTGCATTTTCATCACCAAGGTCATAAAGTCCCAGAAAGTTAAACTTTACTTTGGGATTGGGCTGTGTAGCACTGGGGCTGAAATTCTTCTTTTACCATCTTATTATGTGACCTTGGGACAGGTAATCTTTTGATTGATCCTAAAATTGCTTGTAGTACATACCATTTTGAGAATGTTATACTTAATTAATTAATTAATGCTCTTGATGTTCTCTGAGAATCCTTGAGAAATTTTTTAAATACTGAGTTTCTACTAAGCTAAAAGGTCCGCTCGGCCAAATTTGTCTCGATGATGCTGTTTTAGATTAAATCTTGTTGGAAGACTTCAAAGTGATTTTTTAATCAAATCCTATAAAACAGTTTTTAAGTTGTAAAATGTATGTTGTAATTTTGTCTCTGTTGTTAATATGTCTCTCTTTTTATGCTGTTGTAATTGCAGGACATATTTGAATTGAGTTTGTAAGCCACCTCTCTTAATTGTTTTCTCCGTGAAACATCAGGAATCCGTATTTATATATTTTACCTTTCAGTAACTATGTATATGCTATTAAGAGCAAACTCTTAGGATACTTCATTTATTCAGTTTATGATTACTCCAGTACAGTGACAGAGAAAAATGACCTTTATTTACAGTTGTATATTTATATGTGTTTAATGGCTTTCCCTATATTTTTCATCAGCTTCTATAAATATTTTTCTTCAAGGTGAATGATTTTGTGAGGGATAAATTTACGCGCAAAGATGGCTCTGTCCCACTCGCAGCAGAAATTCTTGCTGGAGGCTGTGTAAGTACCTTTTGCGGATATCTACATTGAAAAGACTTGTTTCACATACATATCACGACCGTGCTACACAAGTGCGGACTAAGGCTTCTGTTCGCCTCAGGTCCCGTTCAAGGGCAGAGTCTACTAGGGCACCTCGGCTTCTCCTAGACTCCTGAGGTGGAAGGGTAAACATCTCTGGTCTTACTGCCTGTTAAGTCATGCCTGTTAAATTCGCCATTGCTAGCAGTTGGTTCTGCAGGAGAAGCCATTTGTGGCAGAAGTGTTTGGCCTTTGAACAGATCTTTGCTAAACTATTCTAGAGTTTATTTTTCATACATTCTTTCCTCATGGCACCCTCTGCTGGGTCAGGCACTGAAATTTGTAGTTTGAAGTCAGCAGCCATAGCTCTCTGCTTTGCTTTACTTCACAAATGCCAGCAACTCTCCAAGTTCCCCAGTGCTTCCAGGAGAAGGATGTGGGATGTGACTGGCTGAGTGCGCTCCACATTGTCAAAAATGCTTAGAACGAGTATTTCTTTATATGGATGAACAACCTGCATCTTGTTCTTGAGCTCAGCAAAACATCATGTCTTGTTTAATTTCATGTACAGGTTTGTTCACGTGAATGTAAATACCTTAAGTAAGTTAAACTCTTATACAAAGACTGGTGCTATTTAAAGATAAGGTTGGTTAAATAAATGGTCTTTGATCACTAGGGCAATAAATATTGGTATATTTTCCATCTACACCTGTGTTTCTTGTACAAAAGATGAGGTCACTTTTTTTTTTTTTTTAATTCACTTGTTCTGTGCAGGAAATGGTGTTCACAAAATGATCTTTTCTTGAAAAGTCCTTGAGTTTAGAAGTTGGGAAAACACCCGAGAATATTAAACCTTTGTCTGGAGAGGGCTTATTGTCCTGACATTGAATGGGGTTCCCTGAACGTAGCAGGAGCTACAGAGTCCTAGCTCCTGGTAATTCTTAAGAGATGGACGGAATTTGGCTACAGCCTGACTTTCTGTTTGATCACTGACCTGTCAGAGACAGCCAGGTAAGATCCCCTTGTCCTGTAACTTTAGGAGCATTCAGGATGGAAAAAGGGAGCCTTTAATGTCCTAAATAAAAAGGGCACACAATAATAATCAAAAACAATATTAGGAGTTGCAGAAATGGCTCTTGCCGGTAGGTACTCGTCCTTTAAAACAACTGTAGTTTCCAGTTGAGTAACTAGATTTTCTAATTTTCAATAGGCATAACCATGGGCTATACCTAAGTCCATCCTTGAAGCTATTACAAGGGTCCCGAGAGAGTAGGGCATTTCAGTAGGTCAGGTGGGTTTGTTTATTTTTTTAGAAGTCAGGTTTTAAACTTTCTGAAAAGACATGATTACATATCTCTGTAAGAATTTAAAATGGAAAACTAACTATGTGATACTACTCAAGATTTTGGCAATAATCTTGAGGGTTATTTTCTTTTTAATGAAAGCATTTTGCCTGCACACAGGCCTGGGTGCCAAGGAGATTGGTCGTGGCACGTATCGTCTGCTGTAGGTGGTCTTGTTTTCCCGTATGTGGTCGCCCATTTCAAACACAAAGCACCGATTGGCATCAGGCGTGGTGCCTAGTTATTGCAAAGTGGTGCAGCCCTTTTCAAACCTGATCTAGACACAGGCTTAAAATTGGAGCCACTGGGGCTTTACAGCTACTTAAAATATCTGTGAAATGAGGTTTGCCATCCTTCATCTCAAAGGTGGGGAGACAGTGGTCCTCAGTGTTTCAAGTCTCCTGTTTTTGACTCCCCCCTACTCCTCCCTCCCCCCGAGTCATTGCTTTGAGAAGTAAGAGTTTATTTTTCAGGTAAGCAATTCTGTTGGTGGCAAACAATCCAGGTCCTTTAGATCTCTGAGTGGTGGGATGGCTGGTGCCATTTCAGCATGTGTTTTTAAAGCAGTAGCAGCATCTTTCTCTGCAGGCTGTGGCAGAGTTGTTGTCTCTGTCGTTCAGAGCCAGTCACACACCTCCTTAGAGAGTCCTTGTGAGTACCTCTGCCTCACTGTCCAGTTAGGACTACAGAGGGTTTAAAAGGTAGTGTTGCATGGGCAGTTCCCCTTAGTTCACCCAAGCATTGCCAGGCATTGCCTTTTAAGTCCCCGGAGAGCTCACCTTACTTTATTATCACTGAGAATTAGGAATATGGCTAACTTTTGCACTTATAACCTCAACTGCTGATTTCTTTGAAGATGGCTTTTTTGTTTATTTTATAATTTGTTTTCTACAAAAACAGGGAAAAGATGCAAGGAGGTCCTTGTCTGCTAACCTTAATCGTCTCCTAGCTAAACTAAGGCCTGTTTTATTATTTTTTTTCTTTAGAAAAACAACAAGAATGATAGTAAATTTGAAGGAAAATGTTGGAGGAAAAAGAATAAAATTGATCTCATTCATTAATTTTTGATGTAATGAAATCTATGACTGAAGAGCTTAAAAAACTCTTGTTAAATACTCTTGTTTCATTGGTGTATGTAAAAGGATGAATCTAGCATTAAACTTTTTGCGCTAGTTTAGAGCACTATTAAAAATTTGACCAGTTTTCTGAGCATTTCTGTAGATTGACACTTAACAGTGGTGATATATTCAGCACAGCTCAAGGCTACACTAGGTGCGAAGACTGGGGTTTATAAACTCATTCTGAAAGGTGTCTTGTGGTTTGTGTTTTCTACATAAGTTGGTTTTCTACTTTCTGAATTAGACTAGGAGTTTTAGGAGTTTTGACAACTTGTTTGACAACAGTTTTGACAAGTTTTAGGAGTTTAGGTCTTTGACAAAGACCTGGAGCCTCAGGTGTCCCTGCACAAGGTATATATATATATATATATATATATATATATATATATATATATATATATATAATCTGCTTTGATTTTCATTAGAAATTAAACTTAGCCTAAAATTGATAAAAAATTACTTCTCCTAAACAAATACTTAAAATTGACACTAGACATCACCCGTGAGAATGTCAATGACAATATCATTAGTCATATATATATATATATATATATATATATACCTTCTGTTTTTTCCATCCTTTCTTTCCTTTCCTGGGTCAGGAGCTCAGCCCTGGAGGGAGATGTGACTTAGGGTGGTCACTGTCAGCAACGGTGGAGGCTCCCAGTAAATGGGGCAGAGGACAGAGGGCCTGTCACCACTACCCATCTCCAGTTAGGTTCCCAGTCACTTTAAACCTGACATGTTACCTCTGAGTACGTTGTTGTGATTGCAGTGTTGCTGCTATTTTAAGAAAAAATAACTTATGTAATACCATGTGGTCTGTAGGTTACAGTCCTTAAATTCCACAAAGTGAGTCTTCTATGCCTCTAGTGGAATAGAGGATTGAACTCCTGGGGGCACTGGGATCTTTAGTTTTTGATCCTTTGATCTTAAGGTTGTCCGATAAGGAAATACAAATGGTGCCATGACTGGTTTCAGGGAAGATATAAATATGATTAATTTATTTGGCATGAAAATCTACATTGAAATGAAAAGAAAAGAAATGATATTCACTGGATGGAAAAATATGTCAAAAAAGGATAAACCTCTGTCTTATAAAGCTTGTATTTAATAAAAATTATTTGTGTACCAATACAAATTAATAGTATTCCGTAATAATTTTTGGAAACACAAGTGAACATGCTTCCTGAGCAATAGTCCTTTGATAATGGATCCACTGTATTTTTCTTTCTTTTTTATTTTAATTTTATATTGGAGTATAGTTGATCAACAATGTTGTGTTAGTTTCGGGTATACAGCAAAGTGATTCAGTTATACATATACATGTATCTATTCTTTTTCAGATTCTTTTCCCATTTAGGTTATTATAGAGTATCACGCACAGTTCCCTGTGCTATACAGTAGGTCCTTGTTGGTTACCTATTTTAAATATAGTAGTGTGTACATGTCAATCCCCAATTCCCAATCTATTCCTCCCCCCTGGTAACCATAAGTTCCTTCTCTAAGTCTGTGAGTCTGTTTCTGTTTTGTGAGTAAGTTCATTTGTATCTTTTTTTCTTTTTTTTTAAGATTCCACACATAAGTGATATCCTATGATATTTGTCTTTCTCTGACTTACTTCACTTAGTGTGATTATCTCTAGGTCCATCCATGTTGCTGCAAATGGCATTATTTCATTCTTTTTAATGACTGGGTAATATTCCATTGTATATATGTACCACATCTTCTTTATCCATTCATCTGTTGATGGACATTTAGGTTGCTTCCATGTCTTGGCTATTGTAAACAGCGCTGCAGTGAACATTGTGGTGCATGTATCCTTTCGAACCATGTTTTTCTCCGGATATACGCCCAGGAGTGGGATTGCTAGATCATATGGTAGCTCTATTTTTAGTTTTTTAAGGAACCTCCACACTGTTGTCCATAGTGGCTGTACCAATTTACATTCCCACCAACAGTGTAGGAAGGTTCCCTCTTCTCCACACTCTCTATGGCATTTATTGTCTGTAGGTTCTGTGATGATGGCCATTCTGACTAGTGTGAGGTGATATTTCATTATAGTTTTGATTTGCATTTCTCTACTAATTAGCAGTGTTGAGCATCTTTTTATGTGCCTCTTGGCCATCTGTATGTCTTCTCTGGAGAAATGTCTATTTAGATCTTCTGCCCATTTTTTGATTGAGTTGTTTGTTTTTTTTGATATTGAGCCACATGAGCTGTTTGTAAATTTTGGAGATTAATCCCTTGTCAGTTGCATTGTTTGCAAATATTTTCACCCATTCTGTGGTTTGTCTTTTCATTTTGTTTATGGTTTCCTTTGCTGTGCAAAAGCTTTTGAGTTTCATTAGGTCCCATTTGTTTATTTTTGTTTTTATTTCCGTTACTCTAGGAGACGTATCAAAAAAGATATTGCTGCAATTTATGTCAAAGAGTGTTCTGTCTGCATTTTCCTCTAAGAGTTTTATAGTGTCTGGTCTTAAATTTAGGTCTTTAATCCATGTTGAGTTTATTTTTGTGT